GAACTTCGTTTCACCTACAACTTAATTTTGAATCTGCAAACCGAATGCTTTGAAATCTTGCAGATGTTTTAAACATCTGATAAGCATAATAAATTTTTATTCAAAATAATACTTACTTCCTCCAAAAAATTGATGACGTCAGCTCAAAATTTTGCCAAATGAATCCTTTTTAAAATATCCAAAATAGGATGAGACTATACTTGTGATTTATCATTCCATTCATATTTTTTAGTTTTGCTTATAGTATATAGGGGGTGTCTCAAAAAAAATTAATCACTGAGTCAGTTTATTTTATTGATTGAATCAAGAATTGCAAAACTATATTTTTAGATTTATTGCAGACGTTTTGAAATTACTGTTTGACATGGTACGTTTTTAATTAAAATATATCTGTTTATCAAGCCCAAAAACTTGATGACGTCATCTCAAGATTTTGCCGAATAAATCCTATCTAAAATGTGCAAAATATCATCAGTATATTTTCGTAAATTTATCATTGCATTCATATTTTTTTGATTTGCTTTTACAGTGACAAAAAAATGTATGGATCAGTCAATTTATTTTAGAAAATAACTCAAGAGTTGCAGAAATGACATAATTAATATAATTCATAATGTTTAAATATAATAACTATTAATATGTGATAATTAAACCGTAAACAATTTTCCTAAGAACACGAGGTTAGCAAAAACAAATTAGTTTGTTTAAACATTGTTAAATTAACCCCGAACATGTACAATTTCTGAGCGAAAATATGAAAAATAATTGTTGCATTCTCATCGTGACGTACGATGACGCCATTGTCACGTGAGCCACCTGATAAAAGGTCACATTTTTCGGTCCTCTGCGTTTAGTTTTGATTTCGGTTTGGTGGCAGCAACATCAGAGTCCGTTTTGGCTTAAAAGTAGGGCTCTTTTCACGAATTTCTAATTTATATATTTAAATATTAGTGAAAATGTGTTGTATTAGTACTGTGAACACGAACGAAAATGGATATTTTTTCGAAAAGGACGGAAAACAGGGTAAGTTCGAGTTCAGTTTTAATTTATCGGATTCCGTGATTCGTTCACTCGACAATATTTAAATTTTGGGAAAATTTTCGAAACGATTGAAATGGGTTGATCAAAGCTATACATTTTCACGACATAAATAAACAAATTTTAAACATAATTAATATCATTTATAATGTTTAAATATGATAAGCATCAATGTATGATAATTAAACCGAAACCCGTTGTCCTACAAGCCCGAAATTATTAAAAACAAATCAATTTGTTTAAACAATGTTAAATTATCCCCGAAAATGTGCATTTTCCCGGCCAAAATATGAAAAATAAATTTTGCAATCTCATCGTGACGTACGATGACGTCAATGTCACCTGAGCTACTTGTATAAAGGTCACGTGTTTCGGTCCTTTGTGTTCAGTTTTAATTTCTGTTTGATGGCGGTAAGATCGTCGCTTCATTTCGGCGTAAAAGTGGAGCGTTTTAGCGAATTTCTAGTTTATTATTAATACATGTTACGGAAAATATGTTGTGTTAGTGCTGTGAACACGAACGAAAATGGATATTTTTCCGAAAAGGACCGAAAACAGGGTAAGTACGACTTCAGTTTTAATTTATCGGATTCCGTGATTCGTTTGGTCGACAATGTTTACATTTTGGATACATTTTCGAAACGATTGAAGTTGGTGGGTCAAAGCTATACATTTTCGCGATATAATTAAATAAAATTTAAACATAATTAATACAATTCATAATGTTCAAATATGATAACTATCAATATATGATAATTAAACCGAAATTCGTTTTCCTAAGAACACGAGGTTAGTAAAAACAAATTAGTTTGTTTAAACGTTGTTAAATTAACCCCGAACATGTACAGTTTCTGAGCGAAAATATGAAAAATAATTTTTGCAATCTCATCGTGACGTACGATGATGCCACTGTCACGTGAGCCACCTGATAAAAGGTCACATTTTTCGGTCCTCTGCGTTTAGTTTTGATTTCGGTTTGGTGGCAGCAACATCAGAGTCCGTTTTGGCTTAAAAGTAGGGCTCTTTTCACGAATTTCTAATTTATATATTTAAATATTAGTGAAAATGTATTGTATTAGTGCTGTGAACACGAACGAAAATGGATATTTTTTCGAAAAGGACCGAAAACAGGGTAAGTTCGAGTTCAGTTTTAATTTATCGGATTCCGTGATTCGTTCACTCGACAATATTTAAATTTTGGGAAAATTTTCGAAACGATTGAAATCGGTTGATCAAAGCTATACATTTTCACGACATAAATAAATAAATTTTAACCATAATTAATATCATTTATGATGTTTAAATATGATAAGCATCAATGTATGATAATTAAACCGAAACCCGTTGTCCTATAAGCCCGAAATTATTAAAAACAAATCAATTTGTTTAAACAATGTTAAATTATCCCCGAAAATGTGCATTTTCCCGACCAAAATATGAAAAATAAATTTTGCAATCTCATCGTGACGTACGATGACGTCAATGTCACCTGAGCTACTTGTATAAAGGTCACGTGTTTCGGTCCTTTGTGTTCAGTTTTAATTTCTGTTTGATGGCGGCAAGATCGTCGCTTCATTTCGGCGTAAAAGTGGAGCGTTTTAGCGAATTTCTAGTTTATTATTAATACATACCTATTACGGAAAATATATTATGTTAGTGCTGTGAACACGAACGAAAATGGATATTTTTCCGAAAAGGACCGAAAACAGGGTAAGTACGACTTCAGTTTTAATTTATCGGATTCCGTGATTCGTTTGGTCGACAATGTTTACATTTTCGATAAATTTTCGAAACGATTGAAGTTGGTGGGTCAAAGCTATACATTTTCGCGATTTAATTAAATAAAATTTAAACATAATTAATAGAATTTATAATGTTCAAATATGATAACTATCAATATATGATAATTAAACCGAAATCAGTTTTCCTAAGAACACGAGGTTAGTAAAAACAAATTAGTTTGTTTAAACGTTGTTAAATTAACCCCGAAAATGTACAATTTCTGATCTAAAATATGAAAAATAATTTTTGCAATCTCATCGTGACGTGCGATGATGTCACTGTCACGTGAGCTACCTGATAAAAGGTCACATTTTCGATCCTTTCTGTTCAATTTTGATTCCGGTCTGGTAGCAGCAACATTGGAGCTTCGTTTTGGGTTAAAAGTAGCACGTGTTTGCGAATTTCTAATTTATTGTTAATAAATATTAGCGAAAATGTTTTGTGTCAAGTGCTGTGAACACGAAGGAAAGTGGATGTTTTTCCAAAAATGCCCATTTTTTTTTAAATATGTTGTTAATAACATGCATTCAGGACTGATAAATACGCCTTTAGAATATACAAAGTACTGCGTTCATAATTCACAAAATACCGTATTCATCATTTTTAAAGTACGGCGTCCAAATTTACAAAATACGGTGTCCTTCACCCATGCTATCAAACCTTAGTCCTCTCTTTTAATGGCAAGACGCACTCCAGACCTCCTCGTATTGTTTGGTTCTTGCTGGGTAACAGCAACGAGCGAGCAAAGTCATCGCTCTTTGGTGGCAAACGTGGAGAAATTTGTATATTGTAACTTTTGTAATTGAAGCATTTTGTACTGTATATTGTATGTGTTACTAACTTAACTTGGGTCTTGCCAATTTAGCTCCAGTGGTGCAAATGCTTTGTTTTCATGGTGTATTTGCTTGGGTTTTAATTTTGCAACAGTGCATTCTTTGGTTCCGGGTTTGAATTCTCCATGTCGTCAGACGCTTTGGCCTGGGGGAGTTCTTTTGGCCCTTAGACGCTGGGTTGCATCGTTCTTTGAGAATGAGGTAAGACGACCTTGGATTTATGCGGCTGCGTTCTCCCTTGGGCGTGTGAGCGCTGCGACCAATAGATTTCGTCCCGAGTTCCATCGGTGTGCTTGCTTGGGTTTTCATTTTGCAACATTCTCAATTTTTGGTGCAATTTCTTCCGGTGGTGTATTGGCTACTAACTTTGCATTTGTATTGTATCTGAATTGTATCTGTATCTGTAGTGTATTCTGTATTGTAGTTAGATTGTAGGTACCTGTATTGTATTTCCATTGCATTGTACTGTATAACGTTCTATCCCTCATTAACAAATCCTAGCCCTCTCCTTTCCTAGCGAGATCTGCTCCAGACCTTCCCGTGGTTCTTGCTGAGCATCAACTATCGAGGACAGAAAATTCAAATTCAAAACCAGCAAAGTTTCACAAAAATCTTGAAAATCGCTCGTTGGTGGCCAACGTGGAGCAAAAGAGACTTTTGTAAGTCAACTAACTTTGTTAACTTTGTATTCTTAAGGAAACAAAAATATATTACATTTAATTTATTATTTATAAGGACAAATAGTCATTTGCCACACCGATGCTCATTTTTAGATTAAATGCTCACAAAACGCGTAGATGTCCAATTTGTGTCCGGGGAGATACAATGTTTTCAAGTAGGTACTTCGTACTTCGAATATGAGTATCTACTCAGTTTTATTCATACCACCCAATGTCTCACTTCAATGTTTGATTATGTTGATTATGAGCACAACGCCGATGAACTTCCGTATCCGAATTACCCATGAAATAAATCATTGCGATTTGCACCTGAGGTAGTTCGTCTGTAAATTTTGTCTTGAGAATTTTAAAATATCGAAAATTTCAAATTAAATCCTCGAATGACGGTAAAGTTTGAGGTTTTGTCGAAACCAACAAAGTGAATATACGTAAATAGAATGGCAGATCAAAATTAATAAGAAACTTTCGCAATGCGTAACTAAATTCACTTTAACCAACACTTTTCTTAAAATAAACGACGTTTCTTGTTACGAAAAAACAAACAACGACTTGAAATGCAATAATACTTTTCACCGTCGTCTTCGTTGATTCACTATTAAAGTCTCTCCAATCCCTTAAATGTGACACGTGGGGGCGCATACGTCGGGAGGGAAAGGAATCTGTAATGTCAGCTAAATGTCTGTCGTGGTCTGACTTTTTGACACAATTTGACATCATGTATTTCGGTTTTTACTTGAAAAAGAGGCAAAATTTCTGTACCGGTGCCAAAGTCACAACGCCATGGGCGTGAATGATGTTCAAAGGGATATGTAGTGGGAAAATTTTTCTTTGAGGTGTTTACATTGTTATCGGAATGTGTCTCAGGAATTATGAAGCTGCATTCTGGATCACGTTTAGTACTGGCTGAGGAGCTTGAAGAAGTAGGAACAGGTAGCGGTGACTTGGAACCATGGAGGAACAAACTAGGAACAGAGCCGGATTTAAGTCTTTTATTTGTATAATAACAACTTCTCTCAAAGTGTTTACCACAAAGGTATAAATTATGTGCAATATTATCACCTGAAATGGTTTTAATGGCTATACATTCCCTTAGGTAAAAGATTCATGTTGGGGTACCTACTTGTAGCATTAAAAACCTTTTTGGACCACAGTTCAAAGTGTTTGAAGGGAATCTGCGCATTATTTTGTGGTCTCTAGGATCCTTGATTACCCCACAAGCAGCCACAGAGCAATATTTTTTGAACATTTTGATAATAGCAATTCAAGCACAAACTGTTTTGGAGCGTGACAAAACGGATTAATTACAGGTTCCTATAACTCCCGAAGGGGGTGACATCTTTTGATATTTTCCCTTTTGACAAGTCGGACGATTGTAACCAATTGGAGAGACTTTAATAGTGAATCAACGAAGACGACGCTTTTCACAATCGCACGGAAGAAATAGTTTTGTGTGACACGTCAGTCAGGCGACAGGTCCGTCAGGAATGGCCAACTATTCAAATTGATTCGAAATGGCGATTCCCGTGCAAAATTTTTAATTTTTTTCTTATCTTTAACCGGTCTCATTTTTTATAAATATTCTTATATATAAACCTTCTCCTGACGATAAGGAACACGTAAAAAAAAGAATCGTCCGATTCGGTGCGGCCGTTCTCAAGTTATGGGCGTACATACATTTCGGCGATTCATTTTTATTAATATAGATTATTATAAATGGTTCTTCCAGGTCCTCAGAGAATAAAAATAATTTCATAAGAAAGCATTATAAAAGCAGCATCAGCAAATTTACTTGAGTTTTTAATTGGTTAAGATTGGTTGCGACGGTCGTCGTGTTATCTCCACCTTCGCGCAAACCGAGCTAATTCCTACAACTGCGTCATCAGTTCATCACCCAATGATCTTAATACGCAGTGTTAATTATGAAAAATATTGTTTTGTTACCTTTTATAACTTTATTTTATTGCATATATTTTTAGTAACCATTCTCATATTCATAATTATATTTTGCAAAAGCGTTGAATTTTTATTTTTGTTTTTTTAATTGGACTTTGCATATAAATTTGTTAAAAAAAGTAATATATAAATTAATTTATTCTAACAATATGGTTTTATTTATAATACACTACCTAAGTAGCAAGTTTTTGTTACCAAAATGTTATAATAAAATCAAGCTCCAAATTAGATGTAAGAATTTTGCTATACTACTTTTTTAATTGGTTTTGAAATCTTGTACTAAGTGTAAGATCTGCGATATTAGTTGATATTAATCGAGTCACAGATACGAGTAGGTGCTCTGAAAAGGTGACATTAACTAAATTTAACATTATTGAGTTTTGACTTGACTAGAGCATTTTTAACCCTCAGTCTGCAAGGTTGTTTTGGGGGTGGTTCTTGAGGGTTTCTCCGAATGGGCTAAAATTTTGCATCAATATTCTCCGAATTAAAAAGTAACAAAATATCGAGTTTTGCAACAAAATATTTTTTCAAAACTAACAGAATATGAAACCCATTTTCTGTTAATTTTCTCTATCAAAACAAAACTCCTAAATAAACTTTTTCTGGAGTCAAATGGTAATTTTTATTTCTGAAATTGGTGGGTAGATACTAGATAATTTAGTATTCAAATAGTATTCAAGGGTACATTAGGACTTAGCTTTATAAATAAGGTATGTAGTGCCTTTGGAAAGATTAAAGTCATATATATTTTCAAATTCTACATTTTTTTTCTTGAATTTTCACATCCATATCGTTATTTCCATCTAAGAATTTAATTTATCAATACAACTAAAATGTTTCTAAATACATGCACTCAACTAGATTAGTCGTAACTGTAGCCGTCTTTACTGCTACTAAGATTTTCCAATTTTAAGTCACTTTCACCGCTAGTACGTAAAAAAAAGAGAGAAAAGTTACAAATATTTTTTTTTAAACCAAGCAACCTTTTTTGTTTCCAATTTTATACTATTTATGTCATAGATTTATGTCAATTAACTCTTAAACAATGTCATACAAAAGAGAATTGCAAAAAGCGATATATCAATATTAATTACCGAAGTAACGATGGATTTTATACAAACAATGTAGAAGAAATTTCAAATAAAATTTAAGTCGAAGACAAAGTTTGAAGATAAAATTTTGGTTTGATGGGCTATATCTCCGGCTGGCGCTTCAGCACCTTTCATTGGCCGTATTAGTGGTGACGCGGTCAATACATAACAATATATGAGAACACCATAATAACAACGACAATTTTGCGTCGTATTGAATATAACGGATCTTTATCTGTTTTCCCATTAATAATAATTAATTAAGAAATTAGCACTTTTCTGGATTCTTTTTGAAATTCAAATAAAATTAAGTTTGAGCTTCCTATTATTAATTTAAACTTTCTCTTAAAACGTTTTCTTCACATTAGGTTTCTCAGAAATTAACCAGCATATAGTATGTACTGAATGAACCAAGTTAACAGTCAAAATGACGTGTAAAAATACATCCCAAAATGAGAGAATGGACGAAAAAATGCCGAACTTATGCATTCTTACTTAGTAGCAACTGATTAATATCTAACAGCGATAAACATAAACTCAAATTATCGCAATTCACGTACTATAAGAAATACTTCTATATTCGTAATTTATATATTTTGTAAATTTAAATATTAATAACTTAATTAATAATTAACAATAAAATAAAAAAAATAATAGAAAAAACTAAATTAAAATTGAAATAATAAAATAATTTTTTGGAGTGATTCGTTAGGGAGCCTGAGCTTTTACGGCGATAGCTGGGTAGCCGGGCTGTTTTAATCCCTAGTCTGTTTCTTTCAAGGATTTCTACGAATGTATTGAAATTTTGTATCAACAATCCTCGTTTTGATAAATTAGCAAATGTCGAGTTTTGACTTGATTGGTGTACTTTTAACCCCTATTCTCCGAGTAGGCTGAAATTTTGCATCAATAACCCCCGTATTGAAAAACTAGCGAATGTCAAATTTTGACTTGATTCGAGTATTTTTAAGCAAGGTTGTTTTAGGGGTAGTTTTTAACGGTTTCTCCGAACGGGTTGAAATTTTGTATCAACAATCTTCGTATTGAGAAATAAGGAAATGTCGAGTTTTGACTTGACTGGAGTATTTTTAACACCCAGTCTGCAAATCTGTTTTAAGGGTGGTTTTTAAGAATTTCTCCGAACGGGTTGAAATTTTGTATTAAAAATCTTCGAATTGAGAAATAAGCAAATATCGAGTTTTGACTTAATTGGAGCATTTTTAACCCCCAGTCTGCAAGATAAACTGTGGTCTGCAAATTAGAAACGCCTGTTGGGGGCGGCCGGGGATTACTAGACAAATTACTTATGGTTAGCGTCTTACCATTTACTCCATATTCCTAACCACTTCCTAACATACCTATATCCAGTGGTTGGAAGTAATTCAGTTACAAGTAATTCATTACTGTAATTCAATTCCTTTTCAAGTAATGAGTAATTGTAACGAATTAATTTTTTTGAGTAATTCAGTCACTTTACAATTACTTTTAACCCAAATACTTACTCAAAAATATTGTTCTGTTTTTCTCTACGAATCGTTTACCTGACTTTGAGGGATTATTACACTTGCTTCGTCCCCACATAGAGGAGATTAACCCAGTAAGAAGTTAAAATCTAAAACGAGTTTAGCACAGAATTTGTTAAGAAACCGGGTAACCATAGTATACATACGCTCTTCATCATTTTAAGGGTGAGCTAAAGCATATTCCAGCATAGGGAAATAGATATAAACTTCTGCCCAAGTTTTTGCCAAAAGTATACGTCCCATTGTAATAAACTTCACAACGTTGAAATGGGCGTAAAAAACCCTACCTAGACTGATTTTCCGTTTTTAAAAAAAAACTACAACGCTTTAAAATTGTGATGAGTATGAGATCATCAGGTTTTTGCTATTTATGGATCAATTTTAAATTTTCAAAAAAGTACACTAATAAAATATCTAAATAAATAATTGAGTAAACAGGAGCAGAATATTTAAAATTTGTGGTCAAACAAACTTTAGCCATTTTTCTGGTTCACTCAAATCCATAATAGGTAACTGATAGATCCCGTCCTTTTAAATAGCTCACAATCCGACAATAAAATTTTATGAGAGTGTCCATCCTCTAAGGTTTTCTAAATTTAATCTGTAAGTCACAACGTCAAGTAAGAGGCAATTAAAGACAGACTTTTACGTTTACTTTATCTTGTAGCCCCCTTCTAAGTATTTAGGAACATCCTTTTTATTAAAGATTAAAAGACTAATATATACGATACATTTACAAGTAGCTAATAAGATATTTTGAAATCTTCCACCAATGCAAATTTTTGATTAAAAGTTGTTGTAGCTAGCATCGAACTTTTATTTGTAGCTAGAGTGCAATGAAATTATTTATTATTTCCCTCTTCTATCTGAAGATTCCTTTCAACTGGCATTAGAAATTGATTTTTTGATTGATAAACCTCAAATTGTTCCATTTCTATTAAATAATAAGTAGTTAGAAACTATTCAATTTAGGAAAGCTAATTTTCCACTTCTTTATGGGATGTTCCTCGAAACCGATTAGTCATTCTTGGATAACATTCATGATGTCAATGATGTATGTTCTACACGACTATACGTAAAGTTACGCGATTTATTCTCTGCATCTGTCCCTTTGAAACAGCACAAACGTAATTTGTCTTCCTACCCTCTTTGGTTTGATCGTGCTTACGCCTGAAATCCAAAATGTTCTACAAAGCAACTCTACATGTTTTAAAAACTTTTTTGTACACTATCGCTCTTGTTCCAAAGTACCAATTAAGAAAGCCTACCCACGCTATACGAAGGGAGTTTGATAAGTGTGATAAATTGATAGGATGTCACGCAACAATTGACTAAATGTTATTTTTGCTGACAAGCATTCTTAAGACAGCACCTGTTAAAATTTCGTGCAGATTGTACGTTCCGTTATCATTTTATAAGCAGTTGAAGAGATCACTTTTTGAGTTAGGAAAAAAAAATGGAAAAAAAACGAGTTTCGTGCCGTGATTAAACCTTTTTATTTGAAGAAGTGGAGGGCCATGCAGATTAAAGCGGAGCTGGAAGAAGTTCACGGCAACTCTGCACCAGCCTTCAAAACC